CCTGAGATGCTGAACTTTGTTGGCAAGAGATGAATACCTGAACAAAAATCAAGATTCTTTAGGTAGAAGGAAATGGAAAATGGGGAATGCATAACCAGGCAGCTAGGACCACTACAGAAATATTAAGTAAGTCTAGGAGGAAGAAAGTTTGAGAAGTCACTAACATCATCAGAGGCTAAAGAGAGTCAAAGTAAGAGTTAAAGAAATAAAAAACAAAAGGAGCCAAGTAAATTAGTTAACTAGAAGGTGACTCTAGATAGACTTCATGGATACTAATTGAAGTGGAGATAGGGCCTTGGTAAGAAAGAAGATATGAAGCTTTAATATAAATTTAAAGATTCTGGCTTTTGAAAGGAAGAATAATGATAATATAGCAGCTAGGAGGGAAAAGTAGTAAGAAGAAGGGTTGTTTTGCAATCAGCAATTAGATGTTTTAAAGTCTAGTCAGTGTCTCCTAATCAAGTTCTGATGAAAGCTCTCCTGGTGACCAGTTCTATGAACTTAGTCAACATGTCAAGCTCCCTTTGAGAGCTCATCACTTAAAGGGGAAAAAACATAGCATATATATATTGAAAGCAGAGAATAATCTTACCTGTATTTTAGTTGTTTGTGTTTAGGGGAGATCTTCAATATTATAGTCCACTGAGGCATCAAAAATCATTTATTTGGGGACTGAAAATAGAATATTTTTGTAATTTCTAGCACAGTAACTATTTGTGAGAGATAATCCAGTTAATGCTAGTTGACTATTCTGCATGCAGCCTCACTTTTGTATTGAGTGAATCTTGCTTTGTAGCAGGTAGAATATGAAGCCCACCATCCCCCTTCAGCAACAACAAATTACAACAGATTGAGATTAGTGTCTTTAAAATTAATGACAGTAGACCATTTTATTGTAAAGAAAGAATTACACTGTAGGTATTTTAGGAAGTTACTGTTCAAGTGCTTTAAATTCAGAACATTATGTGTTCCCCTTAAATGGTAATGGTTGGAACACTTCTAAGTTTTTGTCACTTGTAAATCAATGAGATTCATGTGACAGAAATCTCAAAACTTTCATCCTACATCGTATAGGCTAAATGACCACTTATTTGAGAACTTATGGGAAGCCGTTCATATTTTGCAGGCAGAAGTTACAGAATGATTTTACTTGGGAAAACAAGAGAAAACTAAAGATTGCATGTAGACCTAACAAATTATTCAGTTTGCTTGATACTTTTTGCCAAGAGTTTTGTCATGAGGGCAGACCATAGTGCTTTATTCCACATTCCCAGCCAGCATTTGCAAACCACCAATCATTTCCTAAGGGACCTTAACAGACGGAAGCATTGAATTCTCTACAGTCAGTGTTGCCTCCCACCTGGGAAAAAGACAGTCCTGTAATTGAATCTGAGCATATGCATTGTCATCCCTCCTGCCTGCCTCTCTGATGTGACAGCAAATTAAAAGACTTAAGGCTCAGCCTGTCTTCCAGCTGCCAGCCCCTGGTAGACATGAGGGAGCCAGAAGGGACCAGGTGGAGCAGTTTTGAGTTGCACTAAACACACAGCGCAAGGAGGTTGGCCGTAACTTCCCAATGAATATTTATACCAGCCCCAATTCTCATGTTGCACTTTGGCAGGGACCAGAGTGCTGAGCTCCTGCTGATTTCAGGGGCCCTGCATTGTTTGGACCTGCTCCGTGAAGTATTACGCCAGATGAGAAGTGGGGCCCAGGTTCCTATCACTAAGATGGGTGGTTGACTTTTTTTAAATGGAGACTATCATGTTATAGTGTCATAAGGATGGGGCAAGGGGGAGTTCCCTGACGTCTTCTGGCATTGCTGTTCATGAATTGCATGCAGCCTCAGCCTCAGCTTCCCGTGGAGTGGAACTTTAATTGTTTATATTAAGAGCCACACAATACTGTATGTTGTATATCATGGCATTTTCTTCATCTTTTTCTTGGAGGGTTTATTTTTGTTTGCTAAGGTCGGGCACTTATCACAGGGCTCTCTCATCACATTTCACATTCTGATCCCTCGTGGCAGGTGCTAACTTCCTTGCGCTCAAAGTGAATGGGTTGAGTAACCTCATAAAGATACAGAATGTCTTGGCATAGAAAAGAAGGGAGTAAAGAATGCCTGTCTATGGAAGACTCTTAGTGTTATTTAGTGAGCCCTGTAAACTGAGAAGATATTTGGAAAACCATCTACACACAAACCCATTAACTTTTTCTAGGTAGTAGATCATAGACTTATATTTATGTTCGTGATTCCCAATCCATATAGTTACCTAATAAAGCACACAACTTATCATTTTTGTTTTTTAAGAAATTTTTATTGTTTTTTTTTTAAATTTTTAAAATTAAAACATAATTGGCACACAATATTGTATTAGTTTCGGGTGTGCAACATAGTGATTGGACATTTATATACCTTATGATGTGAACACCACAATAAGTCTATTTATTGATCATTCATTACAGTGCAAAGTTACTATTGTATTATTGACTATATTCTCTCTGTTGTACACCACACCCCTGTGGCTTATTTATTTTATAACTAGAATTTTGTCTCTCTTATTCAACCCTCTACATTTTTTACTGCTCTTCCCCCACCCTGCATCCCTATGGCAAACATCAGTTCATTTTCTGCATCACTGAGACTGTTTCTGTTTTGTTTTCTTTTTTAGATTACATATATACTAGTAAGTGAAAGTGTATGGTATTTGTCTCTTTCTGTCTGACTTATTCCACTCAGGACAATACCTTCTAGGCCCATCTATGTTGTTGTTGCAGATGATAAAATTTCATACATTTTTATGGCTGCGTCATATTCCATTGTGTACTAGTATTTGTACCATTTCTTTATCCATTAGTCTATGGTTGGACTCTAGCTTGCTTTCATTTCTTGCCTATTGTAAGTAATGCTTCAGTGAACTAGGGGTACATTTATACGTTTGAATTCGTGTGGGGTTTTGTGTGTGTTTTTTGGTGTGTCTTTTTTTTTTTTTTTTTAATCCTCATCCAAGGATATTTTTCCATTGATTTTAGAGAAAATAGAAGAGAGAGGGAAAGACAGAGAGAAACATCGATGTGAAAGAAAGACATAGATCGGTTGCCTCCTGCATGAGCCCGAACCAGGGCCCGGGCCAGGGAGGAGCCTGCAACCCAGTACATGCCCTTGACCAGAATCCAACCTGGGACCCTTTGGTCCGCAGGCCGACCTTTGTCCATTGAGCCAAACCGGCTAGGGCTGAATTAGTGTTTTTGTTTTCTTCTGGTAAAAAGTCAGAAGTGGAATTTCTGGATTGTACAGTAATCCTATTTTTAATTGCTTGATGAACCTTTCTACTGCCTTCCATTGTGGCTGCAGCAATTTTATGATCACACTAGCAGTTCACAAGGGTTCCCTTTTCTCCACATTCTCACAAACACTTGTTATTTGTTGACTTTTTGATGATAGCCATTCTGACATATCTCATTGTACTTTTGATTTGTATTTTCCTGATGATTAATAATGTTGAGCATTTTCTCATATGATGTTTAAGGCCATTGTTTCCATTTTGAATTTTTGTCTGGATTTTCTATTTATTATTGTATGTGAGTGTTAAAGTCTCCTACTGTTATTGTAAAAATGTCAATTTCTCTCTTTATGTCTGTTAATATTTGTCTTGTTTATTTAGTCGTCCTATATTGGGTGCATAGATATTTATGAATATAATGTCTTTTGACCCTTTGATTATTATGTAATGGTCTTCTTTTTGTCTCTTTTTACAGTCTTTGTTTTAACATCCAACTAGTCTGATATGAGTATTGCTATCCCAGCTTTCTTTTTATTATTTTTTTCATTTGTTTTTATGTGGAATATATTTTCTATACCTTCATTTTCAGTATGTGTCTATCTTTTGATCTGAAGTGAGTCTTGTGTATGCAGCATATGGGTGGGTCTTGCTTGCTTTTTTTTGTTTTGTTTTTATCTTGTTTTGTTTTTATCCATTAATTTACCATATGTCTTTTGGTTGGAGCATTTTAGTCCATTTGTTTTTAAACTAATTACAGATAGGTATGGTCTTTTTGCCATTTTGTTAATTCTTTTTTATTGTTATATAGTTTTCTTTGAATTCCTTTCTTGTTAATTTTTGTGTATCTTTTGTAGGTTTTGGTTTATAGTTACTATTTGGTATATTGATCTATATATTTTGCTGTATATTTTAAGCTGATCGATATTTTAAGTTCAAACACATTCTAAAGCGCTACAGTTTGGCTCATTGTGTTTTAAAAATTTTTGTTTGTGAATTCCCTAACTACTTCTTGTAGTTATAGTTGGTTTTGCTACTTTTGTCTTTTAACCTTCATATCAGCTTTTTTTAAAAAAACAATGTTTTTATTGATTTTTAGAGAGAAAGGAAGTGAGAGGAATAGAGAGATAGAAACATCAGTGAGAAAGAAACATCATCAATCAGCTGCCTCCTGCACGCCCCTTACTGGGGTTGAGCCCACAACCCAGGCACGTGCCCTGACTGGGAATCGAACTAGTGACCTCTTGGTTCCTGGGTCAATTCTCAACCACTGAGCCACACCAGCCAGACCATATTATCTTTTTAAGTGTCTGATTCACTGTCTATTATATGTTTGCCTTTTTTAGTGAGATTTTTTTCTTTCATAGATTTTATTATTTCTGCTTATGGCCTTTTATTTTCTGCCTGAAGAAGATACTTCAATATTTCTTGTAAAGTCAGTTTAATAGTGATAAACTCCTTCAGTGTTCACTTGTCTGGGTAGAGTATTCTAGGTTGTAGGTTTCTTTTTTTAGCACTTGAAATATACCCTGCCACTCCTAGGGCCTGTAAAGTTCCTGCTGAGAAATCTGCTGATCTATGATTAGCTCTCATCATTGATGTTTCTCTCTCTCTCTCCCTCCCTCTCCCTTCTTTTCTGAAATCAATAGAAACATATTTTTTAAAAGTAAATAATTGCTGAGATTTCAACTTTTGCTCTCTTGCTTCCTGCTCTAATAGGTCTATGGAAATGCAGGACCTAGCAAGTCCTCATCCTCTTGTCGGAGGTGGTGATGCCCCTGGTAGCTCCAAACTGGAGAAAGCGAATCTCAGTAGCACATCCGTCACCACAAATGGGACAGGAGGTAAGTGTACAACCTTAAAGACACCCAAAAGCACATTTTCACATTTTAATGTTTGCTGCAATTTCATATGTTAGGGTCTGCTATTAAAGAAATATCTCATTAGCAAGAACACAATCAGCATAATATGCAAGGAATATATAGCTAATGGATTATTTATTGTTCATTTACTTGAAATTTTTGTTTCTCCTCTAAAACTGGAAACATTCAGAAACATCCAGACAGCCCTGGGCAACATTGAAGGCTTTAGTGAAGCTTCTTTTTTGCATTTGCCCTTGTAAATATTTTCTAAAATGTGGAAAATGTGGCCAAAAGGTTCTTACGAAAAAAGAAGATGAAGAAGAAAAGAAATTGTACTATTTTATAATTTTATTTTGAATTATAAGAGAGAGAAGATCTACCAAAATTTTTTTCTTAAAATGTTGTTTTCCTTAAAAGTAAATTTGGAAATAGAAAAAGTATATCTGCTGCAATTTTCTTTACAAAGAGAACAATACCTAACATGTATTTAAAAATATGAATTTAATATTTTTTTCCAGGTATCTTCTCATTTGATTAACCCATAATTAACACACAGCATATGGCAACAATAACAGTTATTTCATATATCCTGCCATATTGTTTTTATAAAATGCATTCAACTTTCCAGAAAATATAATCTTATTTTTGCATCACAATATATAGACTACATCTCTATACATATGTTTCATTTTAAATCAATTATTTTCAAGTTTTATAGATCTAGTTATTTTATTCAGTAAGTGAGAAATTACATGAAATTTGTTTTAACTTATAAACTTCATATTATTAGATATCAGCATTTGCCACATCATATTTTCTTTAAAATTTTCAATAAATATTTATGAAATTGATACACCTCTTTTCACTTATTTGAGAAGAACTGCGCAACCTAAAATCTTCTTTGTAAAGTTATGTGCATTGCAATTTGCCTGTATTTAATAATGTTTTATACCAAACCCTTTGTAAATTAACATTTTTCTTGTTTATAATGTTTATTTGTCTCTAAACATGCATCTGTAGTTTTGGCTAATTAATTATAGGATTGCAAATTTATGAGATTCTTTAGTGATGACTTCTGAAGTAAAAACATTAATATTTAAACCTTACCTTGGTCCAAATAATAATATTTTTTAAAAACTATGCATTCTGGAAGCAGACCTTGGAGTTCACTAATCATCATGTGTATATATTTAACGGAACTAAAACAGACCTGATCAACTAAAATGTAAAAGTCATACCATGGCAGTTATAATTTTTGGCGAAAAGGTCAGAAACCAGTGCAAGCATTGGAAACTATTCGTGTACACTGAGCAGGCACTCAGACAATGAACCCTTATACTGTTCCTGTTCTCAGGGGACAACATGACTGTTTTAAACACTGCGGACTGGTTGCTGAGTTGCAACACCCCCTCTTCCGCAACAAGTATGAGAGATGATGGTACACTGCATGTGCTTGGGTGTGTGGATTTGCCCTTCTGGTTTGCTTTCTGTTGCTATTTCTGTGTTTGCACCTTTTTTTCTGTGTCCAGTACTTGTAAAGGAAAAGGGAAATGATCATGCCTTTTAGTTGTTTATTGGTAACAGTTGGCTATATTTTTCATATCAACTAGTATTCTCATCTCAAATTCTTATTACCAGCAGTATTCTTAGATTTTTTTCATAATTTTACAAAAATGGTGCATCAGTTGTTTTTCTAACTACATGTCAATTTATTAAATGGATAATTGAGCACCACATTCATGTCAATCAGAGAATTTGAAACAGATTGAGTGTACATACAAACTTGTTTATCTTTATAACCTATACATTTTTATAATTTATGTTGACTTTTTAGCATGGCAGAAGATATTTGCTATTTTAGAGACTTTATTAAATATTCCAATTAAAGTAACATTAACAATCAGTTAAAATTCCATTATTTAAAAAACCATCAGTGATAAAAGCTATATATTTAAAATTGTAAACTAATATTGTCTTTGAAAATATTTTGAACTATAGACATTTACTACATTCATATATGTAATATATATTAAAGTATAAACAAACCTTTATCCTAAATCAAAAGTTAATATACTATCAAAATTTAAAAATAAATATAATTCCATAGCACTATGTTAGAACCACCCAACACAAGATTAAACAGAACTCACTACCTATCACAAATGTGCATTACAAGCAAGCAGTTAGACTAGGCACAGACTTGCCATATTTCGATTATATTATATTATGAAGAATACTCCATTATGCCCATTACTTATATATTTATAATTTTCATTTCAATTTTTTCTTTCAATTTCATACTTAAAATATACTTTTCATAGTTAAAAATATATTGCCAGAATTAGTTTCTCTTCATGGGTCTTTATTCATAAAGAATAAGATAGTAAATATTTCAGGCTTTGTAGGTCATACTGCCTCTGTCTCCACTACTTAGTAATGCCATCATAGCCCCAGAACAGCCATGGACAATATATAGATGAATTAGTGTGACTAGGTTCCAATGAAACTTTATTTATGGATTCTGAAATTTAATTTTATATTAATTTCATGTTACAAAATATTCCAAATTTGATCACTTTTAAAACATTTAAGATTTAAAATATTTCTAGATCATTGGCTGATGTTCTGTTCTAAAGTAGTATTAATATAACACAGGCAACTTTACAATAGTATATATATATGTGTATATATATATATATACATATATATTATATAATATTTAGTAATTCATGGCTGATCTTAACTGGAAACATTTTTCTGAGTGTTACACTTCAAGTTTTCTTGTTCTTATTGTTAATATTAAGTGTCATGTGGCCATTTGGGAAGAACAAGGTCTTGTGTGTCAGAAGGATATGATTTGAATCTTGTCACTATACTTATGAGTGTGTCACCTTGGACAAGTTACTGAACATTTCTGAGCTTTAATTCTTTTCTATAAAAGAAAGTTAATAACACTTCCCTGGCAAGACTTTTTGTCCTAAATGAGATATGTATGTAAGTTGCTTGGTAATAAATGCCAGAATATGTCCTTCTTTCATTAATAATTTAATAATAATTGGCCAGAAAATTCTTTTTTTTAATATATTTGTATTGACTTCAAAGAGGAAGGGAGAGGAAGAGGGAAAGAGAGATAGAAGCATCAATGATGAGGGAGAATCATTGATTGGCTGCCTCCTGCACTCCCCACACTGGGATCAAGCCTGCAACTGGGGCATATGCTCTGACTGGGAATTGAACCAAGACCTTCTGGTTTATAGGTCGATGTTCAACCACTGAGCCATGCCAGCTGGGCTGGCAACAAATTCTTAAGGAAAATAAAACATGCATTATGTTAAAATATCCTCCAATGTTTGGTCAGCTAAGAAATTCTTCTGAATTTACAATATGTAAATTGACCACAGAAGGCAAATCTTTAGTGAGATTATACTTTGATTATTAATGACATAGTCTTGGTGGCATATTGATACGAAATTTTTAATGACATTTAATGACTTTTTATGTTGGGTGTTTATAATACAAACTAAGCATTTGGTGCATAGTCTCTCTCATTGACAGTAAATTATTTTATTTTTAATCCTGGGTTTTATTGTTGGTATTGTATCATTGCATAAAATTATTATAATAAAAAAGGAAAAAGCTAATTTTGGGTGTTTTCAAGAACTTTCCATTCATTTTGAGATTTTCAAAAAGATAAATTTAATTATATATTTTATATTAATATGAATGAGTTGACAGTATTACCTTAACCTACCATATTACATTGGTGCTGTTTCAATATATTACACTATTACTTTAATTTAAAATGTTTTATCACCTTAATCCTAATTACATCTGCAGATTTATATTGGTACTTAGATTTTCCTTTCAAATGTCACTTATAAAATTGTTAAAATATAGAACTAGTAATAAAAATAGAATAAATGCAATCATACTTTAGCATATAGATCAGGGATCAGCAAACTTTCTGTAAAGGGTCAGATAGTAAATATTTTAGGCTTTTCAGGCCATATGGTCTCTGTTGTAATTACTCAACTTAACTTTTGTTACACAAAAGCAGCCATAGATAATATGTAAGTGATTGAGCTTGGCTGTGTTCAAATAAAACTTGATAAATTTGAATTTCTTAAAATTTTCACATCACAAAATATTATTCTTTTGATATTTTCAACTATTTAAAAATTTAAAAGTCATTCTTAGCTCATAGACCATTTAAAAATAGGCCACAGAGCAGATTTGTAACATGTGTTATAGTTTGCCCATCCCTGATATAGATATATATGCTATAGGTGTAGTCTACATACTTCATGTACATACACATTCATGAATGTAAATGCATGCCAAGTATATGAAAGTTACTTCCAGATACAGGAAAGATCCTAATTTACAAGATTCAGATTTATGATAAGCCATACATTGTATACAAAAATACTTAGATCTATTGGGAGTACTTAGGATAGGGTCTAAAAGTGAATTTTTACTTTCTCAATTACTAGTAAAATGTGGCAAGTTTCTATTATATGCCAGGCTCTGTGCTAGAAAATGGAAACCCAATGGGGCCTATAGAACACAATACTGGCCATCAAGGGACCAAAATCTAACAGAGGAAAAGAGACAAGAAAATAATGAATGAATAATGTGTTCAAGGTGGGTGCACAGTAGAGGAAGGGAATATTTTATTCTACATGGAGATTAAGAAAATACTTCAAAGCAATTTGGGGGAACCAAAATCAGACATTGAGATCAGATTTATGGTATTTTCTATAAAGGGTTGAGCAAAAGTGGGTTTACAGTTGTGAGTTCGTGAAAGAGTTTATTTTTGTATTATAATTAATTAATTAATTAATGTATTATTTATTATTATTATTATCATCAACCTACTTTTGCTCACCCGGGTATTTAGAATCTGCATAACATGGAAAAGAATCTTCCAAAATATTTAATATATCAATGAGTGAATCACATGTAAATAATTTATTTCTGAATGTTATATACATGTGCAGTCGAGCCCTTTTTACATTTGCTTTTTGGAATGAGAGCCATTTGCTTCATCAAATTATTTTACAAAATTTAATACTTTAAGGATACTTAGGAACGAAAGCTATTTGGAACTCATAGGTTTTTGAATGACTATATTGGCTTAGACAAACATAAACCATAGGCTGTAGCAATTATTAAAACTGGCAGGCAATACTTATTGTTACCCTGCAGTGGTATGAATTGTATCCCTCCTGATCTAAATCCTCCTGAAATTCTTTGTAGAACCTAAAAGGTCAAAAGTTGCTATGTTTAATTTTGTGATTCAGCAAGAAGTGTATTTGGAATTATATATATAGATATACACTCTTTTATGTGGACACTTAAATGCATATTTCTGAAGATGAAATATAAAATGTAAATTGCTGGGTCGGCTTTTGTAAGGATTAAGTGTGCTACTGCAACAAATGAACGTGAATGATGTTATGATAATAAACCAGACTTTCTCCAAAAAATATACACATCAATGCTGTACTTGAGTTCTAAGATAAACTGCAGGAACAAGATTTAATTTGAAAATACTAGTATGTGTATGAGAATATGGATGTAGATTGGGATGTGAAGAGAGGAAATCAATGGTTTAGTAGACATAGCTAACACCTACAATCTTAATTGTAGGTAATAATCTTAATAATCTTAATAATCACATACAATCTTAATTAAATCTGTAGATTATTTTAAAGGTGAAAATTCAGTCATTTCAATACATTAAAATTAATTTGACCCTTTTAAAAAACTATTTGGTTCTATTAAAAACAAATCGCAAGTGGATAATTCATGGTCAGGAGGACCAGACAATTCAAGTATTTCTTCTGTGCAAAGTACCATATATAGTTTTTTTCATTTTACTTTTATGGAAACAGACCCTTATTTTGAGCATGTAGAAAACTGCAGAACTCATTAATTAACCTATGACATCAAAATATAATTGCTGCTTTTGAAATCAAAATAATGACTTACTGTTAAACATTAATAAGTATACTTTACAAATAGTGTTCATAGACTTAGATATGTTTAAGTAGGAATTTGGCCACACTTTGAATTTGTAAGTTCCAAGAAATTTTCTCTTGTCTTAGTTTTTAAGGCTTTGGACTGTGTTTTTATCATAAATATGGACATTGCATCACAAAGGGCCATCTAGATCACATTCTGAAACATCTTTATATGGATACAGATTAAAGGAATTCTTGGTTAATTAGTGCAGCCTGCAAAGGCAGTATGGTTGAGAGTTTGGATTCTGAAACTGTACTACCCTGGTCTCAAATTCTAGCACTCACTAGCTCTGTGACTATAGACAAGCTATTTAACCTCTTTGTTCCCTCATCTGAGAAATGAAGATGATAGTATCACCTACCTTTTATGATTGTCATGGGGAGTAAAGGAGTTAATATCTATAAAGCACAGCAAGAGCACCTGGAATGTACTAAGTACCTTTTAAGTGTGTGTTGTTATCGGCCTTCAAACTTGCTACTTCTTGTTGTTGTTTAAAATATTTCATGAGGAAGAAATGGAAAGCATACTGTATTAGCCTATTCCCACACTTTGGAGCTTTCATTTTTATTACCAAAGTGTGCCTAATTGCTCCATCTAAAAAATAGCCCACTCTTACTACTTTCTGAGCCACCACGAAGAGTCACTGTCATGAATGTAAACCATTTTCATACCTGAAGCTAGCCTGTTATGGTGGAAAGATCACGGATTTGGCGCTAAAGACCTGCGTTTGGATCTTAGCTTGATATCACCTGCGATGGACTAGGCCCCTCAGCCCACCCAAACATTAGTTTCCTCCTGTATACATTTGATATAGTGGTTTGCATTGATCAAGGTTGTTTTAAGGAATAGCTAAATATAAATAATCTAGCACATAATAAGCTCTCAATAAACAATTATGTAGTAGCAAATAATTTTGTGGTGGTAAATTTAATTAGTGATCAGCTATAAGCATAATAGGGACTACCATCCAAGTTACTACTAAAAAGTAGTAACCACCATATATTACTTATCATTATACAAATAATGAGATACTACTCCTCAGATTATTGTTGCTATTGAAAAAGAGGTGGACCTTAAATTTCCCTTTTGCTAGGAGAAGTAGGCCAACTTTCTTTACTCCCTCTTTCCAACCTCTTAGAATCTTCCAGCAAATCTTCAGGACATTATTGAAACATGGATAGTAAATTTACCTCAGAGCTCGCTAAGGGAGGGTCCAGTTAGTTCTGTTCCTGTGGAAAGAGAGCATCATCATGACTGCATGTTTCTCCACTAATTAATTGCTTTTCTAACAGCATAACCTAACTGACTTCTTTGGTTGGTGGGTATTTTCTGACCCACTATACTTTTTGTCATATTTGTTCATGGTTGGCTAGTCTTCAGCTTTCTTCTTCAGCTTGCTTCTAAGTTATTTAACCGTATCATTCCAGGAAACATAAGAGGTGTTAAGTAGAAAATAATTTAGTTTATTCCCTTGCTGCTGTGATATATGTAACAGAGCTCTGCCCACAAAGGGAAAATATGGTGTGACAAAATAAGTAGAGGCTTTTCCACTGCCTCCCTCCCCCGACTCACATCTAATAATGACAATTATGTGTGCCAGGCTACATCATTGCCAAGTGAGGATTTTGCCAAAATATACCACCTCAAAGAAGAAATAACATATTAAAGACTTTTCAAAAGATACACTTATTGCTGTAGAAATCATCTTATTCTATGCTTCTCTCTATAATTCATTAAAAAATCATTATGTCATTAAAATAAAAAGCTCAACATCTTATGTATAACTCTTTAGTTTTTTCTAAGAGCAAAAATTTTATTGAGTGCCTCATTTTTCACCCATCACCTGAATATGCTCATGGTTTCTGTATTTCAGTATGCCTCCATTGTACTCTTATGCAATCATTTTTTTAAATCTTCTTGAGGAGAATAAAATATAAGCTAGTACATCTCATTGTTATGTTTTATATTAAATGTTCTGAAGACTGACCAATGGTTCCTTTTTTATGTCTTTTGACTATAATATCAGAGTGTGCTTTAGGTGAGTTAAAAATGCAAATATGTATACTGCTGTTTCAACTTCATAAGGTGGACTGCCCTGAAAAGCCAGATTCAAGATAACTGGCTTGGCCAGAGGAATTTTCGATTAAGTTCTCTCCAAATGCATGTCCATTTAGAAGCTAAATTAACAAAACTCTCCTCATCGACTTCTCAAGTTCTCTCTTGCATGCTCATGGTAGCTAGAAAAACCACTAGTAGAACAGTCAGCATCTTTGATACCAATTTAGAAATAAAACTCACATGTACTTATTCTTCTACATAGTGTCTCTCCTTGCAGTCAAAACAGAGCCTTTGAACAGCAGTGAAACCACAACCACGACTGGAGATGGAGCGCTTGACACTTTTACTGGGTCAGGTAAAGCCTTAAGCTCGTGTGTTGTTACGTACACATCGGGGTACACACAGTTCTCCTAGTGAATGAGCAGCATAAACAGCAAAGCTGTTAGAACATAGGTTTCTATACATTTAGCAATAAATTAACTTTTTTGAGAACTGATTGTCATAAAACTATGCATTTTTAGAAATTATATTTGGAATCATCTTGCTAGATTTTTTTTTAGTTGGCACCAAAACAATCCCCCTTGACTTTCTTATCAGAAATAAGCAGAGCTGGCTTCCTTCATAATTATTTTATACAGTGTTTAATTTAATAATTAGGTTGTAATAGTTGGCTTTATCCCGTCAACTTGCCCATTCAAATGACATAAAAACTGCCTTTTCTCCAACATTTGAGATGTAAAACTATCCATTTGATTCCTTCTAAATAACCTTGTTTCCTCTCTGTGTTTAAAAAAAATCCTCCCATGCAAGCAGCTGAGTGACAAGTATTAAAGGTTAATGGGCTGCAGGAGAGCACATGCGGGTTGCATTAGAACCAGCCTCTGAGAGCACTACTTTCACTCAAATGCTTCAAAGAGAACAATGGCGTGTCTTTAAACATCAATCCTTTTAAATACCAATACCTGATAACTCCCAGGTGGGCACAGAGGACACGCATTAAGTTGACTTAAAGTTACAATATTTTGTTTGGTTTATTATCTGGTGAAAGGATTCTTTTTTTTTTTTTTTTTTTTTTTAATGTGAGGAGGAATGTGTATAGCAGAAAGATGAACATTAAACCTGGAAAAGTATTTGTGGTAATTAAATCTTAGTTCTGTTATTCTATTTTATTTTACATTTTTCCATGTTCTCATGGACAAGGGTTTCATGTGGGTAAGCTTCATGTAAAGAGTTGAGGTATATCCTTGAGGATAATGTCATTATAGCATATATTTGATTTTTAAAGATAAAGATGATCCCATTTCCTGAGTTCACACTATTGGGAGTGCTTATCATGTATTCACATAAATAGTAGTGCTCCAAACAGAAAGAAATAATACATAAAGATTCATATGTATTAATCTATATTTTTTTCTAGCAATTCACTTGCCTCCCAGGAGCTAAATAGATATCAACTAACTCTAGCATTCTTTATTACTCATTATAACCCTTGTAAACTTTCTACAAAGTAAATGCATATGAACATATTTTTAAGGAAAATAATGGAATTATAAGTAACTGATGACATACTTAAATAGCATATCACAAGCTAACTGAAAGCTAAATGACAAAATTACAGAATGTTAGCTCCAGAAGGAATTTTAGAGATCTATGGTAAGAATACTAAGGCACTGAGAAGTTAACGGTGGTTAAGGCCAGACTATCAAAACTGCACAGATAGTCTCTGCTATAAATAGTCTAGAACAGTATTCTGAGCTATTCAGGAGTCTTTGTGTGATACTGATAGGAAAATATAAACATGAGGAAAAAAATAACTGGGAAGAGTCATCCTATCTGAAATTCACACATACACACACACACACACACACACACACACACACACACACATTATTTTTTACAAAGTTTCTTCATTTTCTTTTAAGAATTATCTAGGATTGTGCTGTCCAATAAAGTGGCCACTAACCATATGTGGCTATTTAAGTCTAAATTGACTAATATTTGGTACAAAATTTAAAAATCCATGTAGTTACACTAGTCACATTTCAAGTGTTTAATAGATGTATGTGGTTTTTCTAGTGGCTTTCATACTGGATAACTCAGGTATAGAACAATTCTAACACCATGGACCAAGTTCTTTAGGACAACAATGACTTAGGTCAGCAATCCTCAAAAGCAGCACTATCATAGGACTTATTTACCATTGTGAGGTAGTTGTCCTCTGCATTGCAAGATGTTTAGCAGCATCTCTATCATCTATACAAAATAACAGTAGCACCCTGCACTTATGGCAACCCAAAATGGCTCCAGACATTTTTAATGTCCCCTAGCAAGCAAAATTTCTACTCCACCCCCAACCTCATCCCCTACCTCTCACCCTGTTGACAGTCACTGAGCTAAGGTTCCATGATCATAAGAATAAAACATTAAAATTGCTTGACATCATACTCTGAGAACCTGATAATATTCTTTATAATTTTTTTAAATTAGTTTTAAGGAAACTTTTAAGGCAAGCAGTTTTCCTTACTGTTATAGGCAGAAATGATGGAGTATAATGAGTATAGAGCTTTGGGTAATATCTCTAGATTAATTGAATGGCAATGGGGAAGGTCTCCATGGTTCTCCAGAAATCATACTGAAGATTAGGCTGCCTGGGTAGCAACTGTCTTTACTTTGTTCAACATAAGCTCAACTTCACTTTAGTTAAATTTTATTGTTGTTATCAGTTACGTGGAGACTTATGTTAGAATGAAATGTAGACATTTTAGTTAAGAAGCATAAACTCTCCACATTTTTTGCGAACATCCTAGTTTACTGAAACAAAGATCTTATGTTATATTTAGAAAATGAACATATAGACATTAATATGAAATTTTAATTGACCCTTTATACTGTTTTGAGTGCATAATGCTAATGATTTCTAGATTCATTCGTTAGAGGGAGAAAGGAACATATATATTCAGACTTGTATTCACTCATATGGATTTTTCTGAAATAATTCTGCTCCTTGGCTTATTTAATAAAAGCTTCTTCAGAGAATGTTTCTTTTCAGTATTTGATGTCTCTTTGGAAAAGCTTTGTGTTTCACAATCATGAAATCAACTGATTAGTATTGTCTAAGTTTGGAGTGTGCCCAAGTAAAATTTTATAAATAAGAAACAAAAATCCTGGAATTAAGCCTCATTCAACTATATTTTTGATAAACAGTATTCACTATTAATGAATCAGACTGAATTTCCTGTGGAATAACACTATTAATATTATGTAATGAACGGTTAGTGCCCATAGTGTAGTAAAAAAACGTCTGTTCTCATTTGAAAGTTTTAAACATTCTTTAAGTTTTTAGTAAATAAGTAAAAAATTAATGGTTCATTAGTCAATGTATTTTTAAGTATATATAGTAAGTACACTTAAATAATGGTTGCTGAAAATATTTACAACATAACACCCCAGTCATAATGAATGATTTTCAAAATTGATTCATAATATTCTTGAAAACATACTTTCTGTACTGTTGCTATGAAAACTATAATAGACTTTCATCCTCAGAGTTCACAGGCCAAATAGCATTTTAAATACATTAAATTTTACCTGTTTATGAAGTAGCAGATCACAAGGGCACTTACTAGCATTTTGATATAGAAAAATCTCATGTTTCATGAAATAGTTAGCAACCTAAACCTATTTGTCACTTTTACAATTCTAAAAGTTTAGCTCTAGAATTATTATGAACAACTTAGGAAGGACATAGTACTTTGAAGTATAACTATGATTGATTAGACTAAACTGATTCCAGTGCTGCGTTGTGTACAACTTTAATCTTTTTGAAAGGTGAATGAACAGCAGATGGCCTAATAAAGACACTCTGTGTGCTTGCCCAGTATGGATTGGCTCTGAAGGGACTTCCTCAACACGGTAGAGCCCATATATTTGCAATACATCCGTCTTAGTCAAGCAGATGGTTAAAGGAAAGAGAAACTTCCAAACTTTTGGACATATTCCAGTTTGAGGCTGCATGTTTAGGTGAAATATTAACAGGACCTGGCTTTCACCTTTATGTTCTTCTCAAAAAAGTTCTATCTCTGATAGGTCAAAATATTTTTGTAAATAAGGTTGCTACTGCGTTTTGCAATTATGGTGTGTGTGTTTTTTTGTGTTGCATCATCACCCAGGCGTTCTGTGTATAGTGCAATTATTACTAGAATAGTTTGGACTGTATTTTTAAATTACTCATCTGATTGGTAAAAGAAAGAAAATAGAATATGGTATCATTTGACAATTTGAAAATCAAGGGTGGACTGTCACATTTTTCTTAATTTTTATTATAATTATATTAAAATAAATATGGAGGAAGGGTAATGTATTGGCATCATATTTGGAATTTAAAACATAAAGTTTGCAAATGAAAAAAAATTTACCTTTATATCACGAAAGAATAATCACCTGTAATTGAATATATTTATCCATAGCATATTAATACATAAAAGCATGCTACTGATTTGAGAAACTGAAAGAATGATGGAGGTGAATGATTTTTAAGAATTCATTTCATGCTCTTAGAACAAAGTTGAAGCAGTTCAGTTAGAATAAAATAGGTATCTGTTTCTGTTTAGAAAATGAATTCATATTTTTGAAAGTCATGAATTTTTAGATACATATCTTTAATGTGATAATGTCTTTAAATTGGTTTTGTATACTCTAGTGAAATATACTTATGAAGCAACCTTTTTGCACTTTTGTGTGTGTCTTACAGTAATAACAAGTAGTGGCTACAGTCCCAGATCAGCACATCAATATTCCCCACAGCTCTATCCTTCCAAGTAAGTGGTCAGTAGATTCTTTCAGATTTGTTAGAATAATTTTTCAGGATTACCTTTATTAATCTGTAGTCACACAATATAACTTTAAATTGGGATACATTTCTGTATTTAAATGTGTTATAGATAGATACTCTGGTAGATTAGTTGGACAGATACATATCCTGTATAAATCTAGAAATAGAGATATACTCATTTTTATTTGGACAGTTCCCTTAATCCTGGATATTGATATACCTTGAGGAAAGCATCAAGATCAAAACAGAGCACACTGATTTTTTAAATGAAAACCCTAAAATGCTAATGAGTTTAAAGCAAATCTAAAACATTACATTTTATTCAAACATCACTTTATAATTTGTTCCATCATTACAATATTTTTATTGGATTTCAAGTCTTAATAAATATATTTTTGAAGAAAATGCTGTACTGTTTTTATAAATAATGTAGTCAACTTATTGAGGGCAGTGGTAGAAATTTCAAGTTTAACTGTATTGATTGTATATGTAAATTTGGTTGCAGTCAGCCAGATGTGTCAAGATTTACGATCCCTGATTCATACACATTTAAGCGTTCTTTTCTGTAGCAGCTAGAGTGTCTGTCTTTAACAATAGGTAGGGGGTTGGGTATCCAGTTGGGAACATTTTGTAGAATGTGGCATGATGAGGGGAATGGCATTCTTTTTATTTTCAAGAAACTAGCTGCCTACTTTTTTTTTTTTTAGATTTTAGTTCTTGGTAGAGAGTTCTTAGTAGCACTTTTAATGAGTTTTGTAGTCATTGCATTGCATTAGGTCACTCACAGTAACTGGAAATACATTCACAAGCATATTAATTAACTTGCCTGTGCTCCATTTTATATATATATATATACATATATATATTATAATTAGATTGCTTTTTTTGATATAAATAAGAATTACAGGCCTGAAAGACTTTAGATTTAATATCTAAACCAAAATTTCTCATTTTCCAGGAAGGTATAGACTTAGAGAGTTTAAAGTATTTGTCCAAGGTCACTAGCCTGGTTTGTAGCAGAGCCTGAGCTCCTGACATTCAGACTCATGTCCTTTCCTATATTGTGAAAATTATACTATGGATAAAGAAAAGGATTACTTCCTGGCTATTATGAGGTTTCACTGAATCTAAGCTGTCTGAATTAATATGCAGTCTTTGTTGCCACAGTAATGCTATTTTTCTGATATTTAGGCCCTATCCACACATTCTTTCTACACCAGCAGCTCAAACAATGTCTGCCTATGCAGGCCAGACTCAGTATTCGGGAATGCAGCAGCCAGCGGTCTACACAGCCTACTCACAGACAGGACAGCCCTACAGCCTGCCCACTTACGGTATTTCACATCTTCTCTCTTCTCCTTTGGTTATAAGCTGGTAATCCTGCTAGTGGTTGTCTATTCTAATATAAGATATCACTTGGAAGTAAGATCATTTAGTAATTAAATGGTTTGCACATGCATTTTCCAAACAGATTTGGGTGTGATGTTGCCAGGCATCAAGACAGAGAGTGGACTTCCACAAACTCAGTCTCCGTTACAGAGTGGGTGCCTCAGTTACAGCCCAGGGTTCTCCACCCCACAGCCAGGCCAGACACCTTATTCTTACCAGATGCCAGGTAAGTAGACACATGGGAGATATGTTATGTGAGAACAAATTCTTTGAATGAGACTCCTTGGCTTCAGACTAGAATTATATAGTCATGAAGATGGTTTTAAACATTTTACCTCTACTCACACGATTTCATCAGAAAAGAAACATGATGAAAAAAGTTGAATATACATCAAGATATATGACCCATATTCAATTTAAATACTTAAATTTAAGTTGCGCCAAATTGGCAGTAAACTTGGTCCAAGCAAAGCAACCTCTGAGCAAGTCACCATGCCAGCAGTCACATGTTTAGCATCTATTTAAGTGATTTCAAAGATTCATGACAAAAACCACCATTTTCTTGTTAGTATTTTTAAGGGTATAATGCTGTTTTTTGTCTATTTAAAATTAAGTTAGTACTTTCTAAGTCCCATTTATCATTGAATGAGGATTTTTTTGTTCATTCCTAAAATACCTCTCCCCTATTAATACTACATTTCTTAATAGGAATATTTATATAATTTAAATATACCACCACCACCCAAAATCCTCCCTATATGTTTATTGTTTAATTTTTCCCCTTGTTTTTTACTCCAATTAAAAATTCTTTTTAATCACTGTGTGGTTATTGCAGAAAAAATTTAGTCACATAATAAAAACATTAAAAGCTTATTCCTAGCTGTCATTTTGTCTATATTATTAAAGTAAAAAATTTGGGGTTATATTAACATATTTGAAACAACTAGAATAGACATTTGAGTCAGCTGACTAAAATGAAATGATTACTTAGACTTTTTTAGCTGAAATGGCAGGTCTCTCTTTACCTAGAATGTAGGGAGAAATACCTTTGTTCACATGCTACAGACTCAGTAAATATGTGGCAGAAACCATAGAGACATTTTCATTTATTTCCCCAAGTACGTTCATATTGGGCATTCCAGGTCAGGACAATTTGTGTTAATTACATATTATTCAAACCCATTGGTAAAATAATAAGCTACCTCAGTAGTCTTTCCCTTTGCATCTTAGCAAGTACATTCCAAAAGAACATATTTAAAAAATAAATCTGCAAATTGATAGTTCACCTGTTTGCCTTAATTTTAAAAATCATTGAATAAATTTCTGACCTAATAGTAAATTTTAGAAGACCCTCAAACCTTAGATTATTACAGTACAAGTCCTATTGAGTCTGAGCCCTAGTTCCTAGCTCTTTTTGTTCTAAGGAAAGAACGCAAGAATGAAAATACAGGGGTGGCAAGCATCAATTAAGTCTAAGTGGGTTCTATTGTTAATCTCTTAAGCTAACACTATCCAGATAGTTAACTTGGGTGATTTTTGTATGCAAATGCAAGTTTATATGACCATTTGAAAATTCAGTAGAATGGAGTTCCACTCATCTGGAAGTAGTCTCAGCGTGTAATATATTTTATTCTTTGAATATTCTGTACTTCTAGATACTTAACCCTTGAAGGTTAGCTGCAGTCCTTGTTAAGACTGTTGTAGATGATACCTGTTATCACAAGAGGTATAGAGTCAAGCACATTTTCCTTATAAACCTCTCAACTTCAAATTTCACTGTCTTAATAACAAAATTAAATATATATGTATATATATAAATATATATATAAATATATATATATATCATTGAATCTGAAAGTGAAATATTTTTTATTTTACAGTAAATACTTAAGGAATTCATTTTTTATTTACTTGTAGGTTCTGGATTTGCACCATCATCTACTATTTATGCAAATAATTCAGTTTCCAATTCAACAAATTTCAGTGGATCACAACAGGTATAGTAGTTTTGTATTCTTGCTTCTTTATGTCTATTTCAGATTTGGGAAGAATAGTTTCAGGTTGCCACATAAGTGCAAATTCTCCCAGAATAAGTTTTTTAAATTTAAAATTAAGATAACATTTTGAGGAAATAAAAATTAGCTATCCAGAATTTTTGGGATATGGGTAATTCTGTATATTTTAGATTTCCTGTTCACTAAAGGTTTGCCCTTTACACTTTAAGCTGTGATTGTCTTAATTATTTGGCATGGAACTACAAAATGTATTGCAAACTTTGCTATCATCATAAACTAAACATAATTTAGTTTAAGACTAAACAAAATTATACTAAATATAACTTTATTTTTTTTGATAAAACAGTTTATTAATATTAATTGATTGAACTGTAATCAATAATTGGATTGTGCTGTCATTTTTAGACCAAAGTGACATTTGTTACTAAACAAAGTTCCCTTTGGACTACTTTTGGCTTTTATGTTTTACTTATTTATTTTTAACATATTTTTATTAATTTCAGAGAGTAAGGAAGAGGGTGAGAGAGAAGGGAACATCAATGATGAGAGTAAATCATTGATCAGCTGCCTCCTGCATGCCCCCTACTTGGGATTGAGCCCACAACCTGAGCACATGCCCTAATGGGGAATTAAACCTGGGACCCTTCAGTCCACAGGCTGATACTCTATCAACTGAGCCAGATCAGCTAGGGCAACTTTTGACTTTTATTTTTACTTTTTAGTTTACTAGGTAGCGTGATAACATAAGGGAAAGAAATAGTCTGTTCTACTTAAGAGGATTAAAGATTCATAAAGGAGAGGAAAGATTTATATCATAAAACAGATCCAATGCTACCTGAATATTTAAATACAGTGGCTCCAATATAAAGTGTAGCCTGTATTTTGGACCATGGACTGAGTACAAATTTAATTTTTAAGCAAATACTTATTGAGTACTTATTCTGTATTAGGAATGGGAGGTATTCTAGGGAAAGGAAGGTGGGGATGGGTTGGATTGGACCTGATCCTATCTCATGGAGCTTACAGCCTACTGAGAGAAGTTGACAATAAACCAGTGAACAGACAGGTAAATATACAATTAGCATGAGGGGAGAGAACAGGGTCCTATTAAAAAAATTATTAGAAATCTAAGTGGAGTAGGGGAGATTTTGTGGAAGGCCTATCTATGGAACTGACATTTAGGCCAAGTCTTCTAAGGGCTGGGTGAAGAATGAGGGCAGGGGTGTTTCAGGCATAGAAAGCAGATGTACTAGCTCACCCAGGGCTGATAAACTTGCTGTGTCAGTCTGGAGTTTAGTTTGTACCTGAGGGTCCGGTGGGTAAACACATCTGCACAGATGGACAGGGGCCTGCGCAAGTAGGGCCTTGTGCTGTATAGGAAGACATTTAGGTTGTATTCCAATCCCAATGGGAAGCTATTAAAGGATTTTGAACAGGAGAAGAGCATCACGTAATTTATGTTTTGAAAAGATTACTCTGGCTTCAGGGACTTTGGAGAAAGTCAAAAATAGAAAGGAGACAAATTAGAAAACCTGTCCATTGGCTCCAACAGCAAGTAAAGGTGGCTTGGACCAGGGTGGCAGTAGAGGAAATAAAGAGAAGCAGAGATCTTGGAGATATGTTTGAGTACAAAAAGACATTGTCTTCCCCGGAAGCTAGTAGTCTGGACCTTTCCAATAAGTAAATTCATCTTCCTTTAAGGCACAGGTGCAGGTCAGGCTCTCTGGCCTCCAATTGCAGCTCTGAAACTTGCTAGCTGTCTGACCTCGGGCAAAACCTTAAGCATTCTGTGTCTCTGTCCCCTTCACAGTAAAATGTGAATAATGATAATACTGCATAGGGGGTTGTGAGGGTTAAATGACTAAGTCCATTTAAGGCTTCAGAACAGTACCTGACAAATCCTTGTTCATGATCTTAATATGTAAAAGAATTTTGAAGGATTATTAAGATTACTTTAAGGTTCTTAAAATTTTTAAATAGAAAGTAGGTCAGAGGATTTGATCCAATGTTTTCTTTTTTTTTTTCCTGTAACAAATGAGGCAAATAAATGTTTGAAAACCTCACTAAAATCTTCAAGTCAAGGCCTCAGGTGACATGTGTCCTGTGAGAGAAAGAAAATATTTTATTCATCTTCTTTTATTTACTGTTTATCTCCTGACAAGAAATCAAAATTATACAGGGTAGCCAAGAAGGGGAATAAAAATCACAATAATGCAGACTGAGGTGTGCATGGAAGCTGGGAGGAGCAGCCACACCTCCCCCTTGCAGGTGATGTTCAATATATGAGAACGGATGCTATGAACATAAACTGACTCCATCTCCTTCTTGCCTCTTCAGTTGCATAAGACATGTTGATATATATCCTTGGATAAGTAATTTTGGGGCTAAAATGAAGCATATGTACCCTTTAGTCAGATTAAAATGTGTGTATTGGATCTGGTTTGCAAAACCAGCAAAGTAATTCATGACAATGTGTATACAGAAGGTGCCCACAAGATTGTCTCTGCCCATTGGAATCAACTCAAAGCTGTGGACTCTAAAACAAATGGAGCCAAATACTAATCTTACAGTTTACCATAGTGATTGCTTCCTTTTCAAACCAGCCAGAGTAATTTCTATTTCAAACACACACATCTCAATTACTGTTTCAGGATTATCCATCCTACACAGCCTTTGGCCAAAACCAGTATGCACAGTATTACTCCGCATCAACGTATGGAGCATATATGACATCAAATAACACAGCTGATGGCACATCATCCTCAACCTCAACCTATCAGTTGCAGGAATCTCTCCCAGGACTGACTAGCCAACCAGGTACAGATCTTCATCCAGGTGAAATACTTTCATATGTTTTGCTGTGTCTAATAATGTGGAGAAAATGGACATTTCAGAAATAAGGCTGAAAGCTCCCAGATGATTATGCTGATGTTTAATCTGTGCTAGTACCACTGCGTAAGATGACATTCTGGCATTTGGAAAACACTTCTTTTACATGTGGAGCAGTTAGGAGATTTATATTTTAATCTTAAATGGCAGTGTGTATGTGAATATAAGTGGATATAAAAAGGTCAGTGGGCCTTTTGCCAGACTATTTTGTGACGGTCTTGACAACATAGAAAAGTTGTAGTATTATCTTCTTTGGATATAACTGACCATATTTCCTTTATGCTTGAGAGACTGCATAGTTCCTTCACCTTCGTGAGGCATCAGTGCCTCCAATCAGTGAATGTTCCCTACCTTCCTAAGGTTTTTAGGATCATTGCTAAGTTGTCTAATATCTTTGCCTAGTCAGCACATATTTAAAATCCATTGTATTTTTTGTTGTCTGAAGCTTATCTGTTTTCTTATTGGAATTATATTTGCTGACACATATTTAACCCAGCTGAAACATTTAAAGTTAAATGTTAAAAGTTTAACATTTAATTAAAAGTTAAAAGTTTAAATTTAATAGAAATTCATCATAATCCCAATAAAAATTCCAGCAGGAATTTTTACAGAAGGTGCCCACAAAACTGTCTCTGCCCATTGGAATCAACTCAAAGCTATGGACTCTAAAACAAATGGAGCCAAATACTAATCTTACAGTTTACCAGTTGATCATTTTTGGAGAAATGATCAAGGTGACTCTAAAATTACAAGGAAAGACAAAGAAACTAGAATAGCCAAAATAATTTTGCAAAGTTTGAGGGCTCACATTGCCTGATTTCAAGACTTATTATAAAGAATAGTCATCAAGAATTGGCAAAAGGACACATACTTGGAGCAATGGAATAGAACAGAGAGTCCAGATATAGACTGACTTACGTACACTGGAAAATGGGTTTTGACAAAAGTGCAAAGGCAATTGGAGAATGAATAGGTATTTTTTTTGTTTGTTTGTTTGAGGCTTTTTAATTTTTTATTTTATTTTTTCCATCACAATTAATCCCCTCTATGCACTCTTCCACCACCACCTATCCCCTGCTTCTGCAATCATGACACTGTTGTCCATGAATTATCTTTTTTTTTCATTTTTGCTCAATCTCTCACTCCTCCCCACCCCATTCTTCTTGGACATGCATAAGCAAAATTTTAAAAAACACACAAAAATGACAAACAATAAAATTCGCCAGAATCTTGACTCTTAATTCATACCATATACAATAAGTACATGTCAAAACTAAAACTATAAAACTTCTAGAAGACTTGGGGGAAATTTTGTGGCCTTGGGTTATGTAAAGATTTTAGATTTGATAGATAATATTCAGATCTTATCAGATTTTCTGTTTAATTTAAAGAAGAAATTATTTCTACTTGTAACTATATTATTATCTCAACCAAAACCATAACAATACACAAGTCTGGATTTTTAAGGTATTCTGTGATCTCAGAACTTTAGTCAAGATCTTTAAGTTTGATTTTGTCTTTCAGATCTTGCATGCATACAAAAAGTAAACTAGTTTGTAACTATGAGATTTTTCTTTATTATTATTGATGAACTTTGAGCTATTTAGTTTAACGGTATGAAAATTATTTCCTATTAACCAACTCTGCATTTTGGAATTAAATCAGAGACCTAGCAATTAAACCCACAATTTTTCATAAATCATTTTCTGTTGACTTCTCTCATTTTTAAAAGAGAAACATACTTCATGTTCTATAAGAGACAGCTGGTTGTTTTGATTTAGCGATAAACCCTAATGAAATAAAGTTGGATTTAAAAACCTAAAGCATGGAAGGTACAGTTATTCATTACTGTACTGATTAAAGGATAATTATTCAATCATGTATGGTGTTGGCCCAAGAAAATGCCTAAGGTAGTTGGTAATGACTGATGTTATTTGGAAATTGCAAATAGCATTCAGTTATTACTTTACCTTATTAGGTAGTTTGACAGTGTATTTAAAAGAAACATTACTATGCTGATTAAGAACAGATATTTTAGTTCATTATCTTTAGAAAGACCTCTCTTTGCTTTTAACATAAAGATTATCAGGTATATTATAATTTTGATTTGCATTCAGAAAGTGATGACTGATTAGTACATGAAAATTTGAGATATTTTTATAGCTCCTTTTAAAAATATTTTAATCATCTTTAACATTATATATAATTAGTCATTTGTAACAATATTATCCTTTACTCTGAGCCCTTGGCAGGCATTACAATACATTTAGCTGATTAAATTTTACAAGTGCTTCAGAAAAGTAAGGGATATAGTAAGATCACTTCGCTCTTTGAAAAGAAGCCAGTTTCTTAGGCAGAACTTAGTAGACTTTCCATAGCTTCATGGCATTTCACTTAAGGACAGGAAGGAAACAAAGTGCTAATTCAATTCGTGGAAGCTAACCAGAGGATTTAGGTAGAAAGAACTGACCACATTTAACTCCTCTGCCAATCTGCATTTCCCATACCTGCAGCATTAATGTACCCCAGTGCAATTACCTGAGTGAAATTATTTGGCAGAGGCCCTGGAATTGACAGCTTTCTCCTTAAAAAAAAAAAAAGTGTCAATAAATGTTTAATGACCAGCTGAGCTCAAGTTCCTGGTTTTACCCTTTATCAGAAAAAAGGATAGCATCTTCAAAAGCTATAGAGGTCAGAATAGTTCCACCTGGATGGTTGCTATAGGAGTCCAGATACTGCTGTGGCCTCTTCAGGACCTGCTCTTTTACTGTAAACTTCTTTTTTAAAAATTTCTTTATTGATTAAGGTATTGCATATGTGTCCTTATCCCCCCATAGCCCCCCTCCCACACCCCTACTCATGCCCTCACCCTCCTGGTGTCTGTGTCCATTGGTTAGGCTTATATGCATGCATACAAATCCTTTGGTTGATCTCTCCTCCTTAACCCCACCCTCCCCTACCTTCCCTCTGAGGTTTGACAGTCTGATCAATGCTTCTCTGTCTCTGGATCTGTTTTTGTTCATCAGTTTAGTTCTTTTGATGAATTTCTTGGCTTTCACTTTCACAAATTGTATAAAGTCTGTATAATTCTTGATTAGTAAAAACAGATATAGGTTTGTAATCAAGAGTGTCCATTGTGGTTTGGAGGAGGAAGTATAAGCCTAGTGGTTAAGGCAGCAGTTCTGGAATCATATCACAATTCCTCACACAAACTATTTCATCTTGGTAAGTTAAATCCCACATGTCTCCAGTTTTCCCAAGATTAAAAGAGGATAATGAAAGACCAGATTCACGGAGTCAAAGTGAGGTTTATATCATATAGCTATAGACATAGATGCAGATATAGATAAAGAATGTTTCACAATAAAGAGTGCTGACAAATCAATAAGGAAAAGAGAACCCAATTTTAAAAATGGGCAAAAGATGTAAACAGTTATATCAAAAAAGAAGATACCAAATGGGAAATTAGCATACAAAAAAGTGTTTCACATCATTTCTCATCAAGAAAATGCTAATTAAATCTACAATAAGATACCACCATACCCCCACAATGACTAATGTAACAAAAGACTAGCAATATCAAGTATTGGCAAGAATGTCAAGCAACTGGAATTCTCATTGCTAGTAGGAGAGTGAATTAATACAACCACTTTGGAAAAAGGTGATCAGAGCTTGTTAAACATGGACATATGCCTTTCCTCTGACCCAGCAGTCCCACTGCTAGGTATATATACCTTAGAGAAATGGGAGCTAAGTCCACAAAGACAAGAACAAGAAAGTTTATAGCAGCTTTATTCATAGTTGCCTAAAATTATGAATAATCCAAATGTATATCAACAGAATGATAAATAAAGCATATATACTAGTACATATATATTGAAGTTCTAGCCACATTAAGGAAAGAACAGATGACTGCCCCAAGCTACAAATGTGAATCAGTCACAGACATAATTAGCAGTGAATAAAGTCAAACATATTTTAATAAACATTTTAAAAGGAAAGACAGCACATGAAAAAAATACTTAAGGTTGAATAAATATGGAGCTGCTCCTCTTAGTTCTTTAAAGAAGCAAGCTATCAGAACACTTCTGTCCATATTGTGTCCAAATTTTTAGAGCCCCTTTAAGATCTTGCAGTAACTTGGAAGGAATCAGTGGTATCAAGTCCCATTTTTATTGAAACCCAAACACTTCTTATAAATACTCCTTTCCCTGCCCCTCCTGCTCCTTTCATTCCCATGCTGTTGGCTCCCAATTTATTGGAATAGCTGAGTTGTTTCTGCCAAACTCCTTCTTTATGGATCCAGTCAACCATCAACCACCCATAACATCACAGTGACTTGGGGATTTTGCAAGTTTTTGTCCTTTCAGCCCTTGTACTGTTGCAAGAACAAAGCTGCCTTGTGATATTTAACACCTGAAAAATGATCTAGAATGAAGAGAAAGACAGGTTGTATGGAACGTCATCCCAAAAATATTATTATAAGCTTATTTAATAAATTAAGGTTAATTATAACCTACAATTTATTTGAAAGAGAACATTTGACTTGCAGGACATAGTAGCCTTAGGAAAGTTCTGTTAAAAAACAACAACTAAACATAGAAAAAAAAATGTTGTGATATATTTTGGAAGTTGGTGTGTGTTTAAATACCTAAAGCCTAATTAATGCCTATGCAAATAAACTAAAACATTATTTACTGTAAGATAGGGCTATATTTAACCTCATTACTAAAACTTTTTATTATGCTGTCTACTCTCACACAGTTGATAGCAGAGGTCCACACAATGAACTGTGCTAGCAATGTTTTAAGAGCAAATGGTATTTGGAGCACAGACATACTTTTCGATGCTGTCCTGACATGCACAATGTTTCCCAAAGATGTTATAACTGTTACAAATGACTACAAGCTAGCTATGCAGAATTTACTATTATTTAGAACATCTCAGAAAAAAATAATACCTACGTGTTATGTAGTTTGTTCAGATTTGATTATTTATATTAAAAACTGTTCAGCTGTCCTCAAAATTATTTTACTTTAATTTCATGGTAAAGCATGCTAGTTATAGCATCTTTATGTTTAAAATTGCATAACCTAAATTTAATATAGTTTGCCATCAGACTCTCCTAGAAGTTTTTACTTTGTGCATATTAATGAAATCCAATTAAATGTAAACCAGCTCTATCTCAATAATTCAAAAAAAGTATTATGCTTTAATATAACACACACACACACACACACACACACACAACCTGAGAGTCAGAGAGATTGTGTAAAATGCTTGCAGTCGTAGCATTTTAAACCTGACTCTTGTTACTTGTGAGGTTTTGCTGCGCCTCACTGTTGCCTCCATTTGTTTATCTTAACACACCTCAACCCCCCATATACACACAGATTTGCCACTGCTCAGTACTTCCTACCTCATAAGATGCTCCACCATTAGCTTTAGACATGCCAGATTTTAAGGTATCTGTGGGACATGAAGAAATCAGTCAGATACAAAGTCTGAAACTTAGGATGTAGCCTGGTTGGGGGTATAGATTTTTTTAACAGTCATCACACAGAGGGTGACTAACATCATGGATCACCCAGATGATGTGGCATGAGAAGGACAGTGATCAAAGCATGGAACTTGTAAATACCAACATACAAGGAATGAGAGAGAAAAAAGGAGTCCAGGTGTCTTAGGAAGAGAAGGTGAGAGATATTCTAGACTTAGGAGAGGGCATGGTGTCAGCTGCCAAATAATGGTCTGAGGGGTGCTGTGTAAGAGGACCAAACCCAGCATGGAGATCCAAGAGTGTAAGATCTGAGTCTCTCTAGTGCATTTGTCAATGAGGTAATTACTGGGACTCTGCATCAGAGTAGTTTTACAGTTTTGGTGAACTGAAGCTAATTGATGACAAATCGGCTGTCAGGAAGTGGAGAGAGATGTGCTGTCCAGCACTTTAGTTGCTGGCCACATGCGGCTATTGAGCACATGCCCTCTGGCCAGTACAGATTGAGGTCCGCTGTAAGTGTAAACTATACACAGGACTTTAATACAAAAAAAAAAGAAATTATGTAAAGCATGTCATTGATAATTTTATATGGGTTACATGTTGAAATGGATATTTTAGATAAATTAGGTCAATTACCATACATAAATAAAGTTAATTTTACATGTTTCTTTTTATGTTTTTTAATGAGGCTTCCAGAAAATTTTAAATTATATATGTGGTTACATTTGTTGTTCGCATTATATTTCTGTCAGACAGCACTGGTATGCACTTTTCTTTTAAGAAGTGTCATTTTAAAAAATAAGATAGCAAACAGATAGCTTCTAGATGGAAATGTAAGGTCAAAGGAAAGGACTTTTAAACTTGCCTATGACCCCAGAAGAGGAAAAGGTTGGACGGAAGATGAGAGAGGGTTTGACTAATGGAGCGAGATTCCTTAAGAGGTGGGGTAGAAGAGTCAAGTTTGCATGGAATTGATCCACAAGACATTTCATCCTCTGAACTCTGATGTAAGGAGGTGAGAACAGATTTAAATTTAGATAAATATATAGGAGGGGGTAGAAATTGGAAGTTGAAGGCATATGGAGTATAAAAGGTGTTCAGGTCTAATAGATCACAGAGCCTGAAACTTGGGAGGGATTTGCCTGACCTACAGACAGATTTTTTTGTCCCTTTAGAATTTTGGGTTTGGGAGTATAAATCAATCAGTCTCTTTCTCTCTTTCTCTCTCTCTCTTGTCCTAAGATTTCTGTTCAATAAGAGTTTAAGATGATTAATAATGAAGACTCATACCTAATCTAAAAATGAAGTGCTATTTTTGATGTAACTTATGTATTTTTAGGAGAGTTTGATACCGTGCAGAGCCCCTCCACACCCATTAAAGATCTCGATGAGAGAACATGTAGGAGTTCTGGGTCAAAGTCCCGAGGAAGAGGCCGGAAAAATAACCCTTCACCACCTCCCGACAGTGACTTGGAGGTATGCTGACTCATCCTAAAAGAGTGTAATATGATGTTTTATTTTTATTGAATACATATTCTATACTTACAGTTTCATAACGCTTCAAACTTTAAATACATATGATATATATCATGATGAAGGGAGTGGATCTATTTTGTAGTGGGCATTTCACAGCTGAAAGTTTGAGATTTCATCCATTGTAATGGCCAAATTATAAAATCAACAACTTAAAAGTGATAATGAGTTACAAATTCTAGGTATGAGATAATTGTATCTTTTGGTCCACGTTGGTACAAATTTTTTTTTTTAAATATATTTTATTGATTTTTTACAGAGAAGAAGGGAGAGAGAGAGAGAGTTAGAAACATCGATGAGCTGCCTCCTGCACACCTCCCACTGGGGATGTGCCCGCAACCCAGGTACATGCCCTTGACCGGAATCAAACCTGGGACCCTTGAGTCCGCAGGCCGACGCTCTATCCACTGAGCCAAACAGGTTTCGGCGGTACAAACAAATTTTAAAAATAACTGTTTCTGGTGTAATTTTCTGAGAAACACTTCATTTGGTGGTACTAATGTAATGAAAGATACTTATATGGGTCAATTAATTGTAAAAGGTAAAATTAATCTGTATGAAAATGAAAAGTTATCTTCTGAAAAGAGAAAAAAAATTTCCAGTCATCTGATACAGGTTAAAATTTTTAGGTCTGTAAAAATTTTCATGAGCCTTTTTTTTTTTTTTTTTTTTCTGGTTGAAAGCTCCTTTGAGATATATCCATAAGAAACAGGTTGACTTTTATTATAAAACATCAGGAGACACTATTCTTAACCTTAATCTGTTACTTCTTAAATAACTGCCTACTTCTGATACCGAATTTTTGGACTGGAACCCAGATTCTTTGTCCGCCAGAATTGAAGAATGAATCCAAGGACAGAAAGTGGTATAGCAAAGGTGGAAATTTATTGAAGAATAGATACAGACTCCCGCGTGGAGTGAGGGAGGAGTCCCACAGAATGAACACCCACGAACTCCCACGTAGGGAGGGGGAAAGGGTCCCGCTGGGTTCCTTTTCCCTGTGGTTTATAAAGGCTGCAGTTCCTGTGTTCTGATACCCCTCTGATTGGTCAATGTTCCCCTTCAAATTGGTTACTATAGTGATTCCTAAGCCCCTCCTTCCTCATGGTCCTTCCATTCCTCTGGGCTTTCTTCTTTTCCATCTGAATGAAGGGCTTCCTTCTCTTTAGTTTGTAAACATAGACCTTTCTTGGCTACTTCCAGTTCCCTTGTCTTATGTAAATACAACTGTTGCTGCTCCCTTGTCTTATGGAGATGTAACTGCACCTGGCTTCCTTGTGTTATGGAAATGCACCTTCTCCCAGTATGGACCCCAATTCCAAAAAATCCCTAATCCTGCCTATGTTCCCCCTAAAATTCCTGCTTCACTTCAATTAAGAAAAAACATTAAATTTCCAGATTTGGTCAAGTTAAGTAATAGTCATTACACCTTTTTCATGAGAGATCATTTCCTTTACCTGAACAACAGTAGCAGATTCAAATGCATCAGGGACTTGGCTGGTGACAATCCATGGGTGGACTGGGCTAGGAAGCCAGCCTACTGTGAGAGCAGAGAGCATTGGCCCAATCAAAAGGGGTCCACCCCTCCCTATGGCACCTCAGCCAGCATTGCTACAGCTTTCAGTGTCTCTGCTACAATGAGAAGCCTGAAGTTTGTTTGAAATTTCCTAATCTTAAAAAGTTGATCAATAATTTGAAATATTTCACTGTGCAGACCAAACAACCCACCTGATGGTCTAAGCTGACTCAAGAGCTCACACTTGGTAATATCTATTTAGGGATTATTATTGAGTCTTTTAAATATTTTTAAATGTTTAAATGTATTGTAAAATATCACAAATCTATGAGGTATAAAACTTTAAGATAGAGTTTCAAGTTCACTTCCATCACAAAGTCCAAATGTGTCTTTTGGGGTATTAACTGCAAATAAATATTTGGGTGAATTTCTTCAAATTAGGATATCTGATTTTTAAGCTTATTGTTTGTATAACTCTTGCTTCTCAGGTTTTACAGGAGTTAGATCTGGAAAATTTTGGGGGAAAAATTAATGGCATAGCATAGGTTTCTCTAAAATGGTATCAAGAGTATATCCAACAACAAAATGAGATGTTTTTTACTTATAAAGAGATTTTTGCTTCCTTATGATTTAATAATTCTTTGATATTTATCTTTTTCTTCAGCGTGTGTTTGTCTGGGACTTGGATGAAACCATCATTGTTTTTCATTCACTGCTCACAGGTTCCTATGCCCAGAAGTACGGCAAGGTAAGTAATCAAGACATTTTACCCCAAGAAACCTTGCTAGAATTTTATTTTGCTGAAAAATCAAGAGCCATTTAAAAATATATTTAGTCATCTGGGTGGCTCTATTGATAGAGCATTTTCTGTGCATTAAAGGTTGTGGCTCAATTCCTGATCTGGGCACATACCTGATCCCCAATTGGAGCACGAGCCAAAGGCAGCCAGTGTTTCTGTTTCACATATATGTCTCTCTCTCTCCCTCTCTTTCTCTCTCCCTCTCTCTCTCTCTCCCTTCCTCTCTAAAAAATCTATCAAAAAACATATTTTGGGGTGAGAATTAAAAGGATAATTAGAAAAAAACACATTTAAGTGGTTTCATTGCAGTCGATCAAATCTGCTCTTAATTATTTCTTTCTACTAGCCCATCATTTCTTTATGTGAATTGGGAAATTTCACAGAACTAATAAAAAAAATTGCATTCTTGTTTCTTCTTCATTATTGAGTTTTCTACATCGAAATCAAGCTTATTACTTTCCTATAATTATTTTATAAAATTTTTGTAAATCGAAATAGACTTTAAGCATATAAAATTACCATATATATATATATATATATATATATATATATGCTACCATTAAGACCAAAGGACCAAACGACCAGTGCACCAGTCACTATGATGCTCACTGACCACCAGGGGCAGACGCTCAATGCAGGAGCTGCCCCCTGATGGTCAGTGCACTCCCACAGTCAACCTCCTGTGGTGAGCCAACCTCCTGTGATCCCTCCCCCCATCCCCCTAGCTGTCCAGCCCCAATCTCCCTGATAGGGACTGGGTGAGATGGCCCCTGATTGGCCCTGATCACCAGCCAGGCAGAGGGACCCCACCTGTGCATGAATTTGCGCACCAGCCCTCTAGGCCTTTAATAAGGGAACTAAAAAAATTGCTTGATTTGTTGCCCCAAATGTTGCTATAAAATGCTATTTGGAATAAGGAAGTAATCTTTTGTCACTCAACCACTGAGCCACGCTGGCTGGGTGCTGTCATTGTCATAGTGGGCTAGCTTCTTAAAACCGTGTTGTTACACACCTGTGAGTGCTTTTTCAAAGACTGATGAAACTGCAACAGACTTTTCATCTGGAAACATAATTGTTTATGTCATTACTATTTGTGTCTTTGACTCTATAGGATTCATGATTTAACAAGAGTCAATTCAAAGCATAGTGGCCCTTCTTCAGTTACCGGTTTCAAAGTTGTATCTGACTTTGGTTCACACATACAGAATTGTCTTCCTATTTCTTTGTAGTGTCACATTATTTAATAGGGTCTCATGTCAGCTCAATGTGCAGTTTTTAGCAAGTTTGTTAAACTTTGTCTTCTAGATTAGTAATGATGAATTGCACTCATGTTCTTCCTCCTAAAATGCAACCTTGGTGAATCTGCAGGGCATTTGATGTTTAGTGTAGCTAATGAATGCTGCTAAACTGATATGAAAGGTAACAATTTTGTTTAATGACCATTTAGAAGAAGGAGTCTTAGTCCCTTCATCCCAATCATTGTCATCTAAAACATTGAGCAAGATGCAAGCATATGCACCAGAAACACACAAGATGCTCAGCTGAAATAAGGAAAGAAAATGTTAGTGCATGAGTACACACACACACACACACACACACACATACACACACACTTGTATCTTGAAGTTTCTATTGTTGTATGTTTCATAAAGCACATACTTTGTAAACACATGCATATGATTATAATTTAAAGAATAGGTATATAATTAATAAGTAAATTATACTACACATAAATTTGGTGTGCCTACCAAAATTATATTACTGATAGAGTATACCATCTAAAAAGTTTCCAGACAATAATCTAAAGCATTTCTTATGGAATAATTTTGACTTGTAAGTAGTACACAGTAAATTCTGTTGAACTGATTACAATATTTTTGTGCAGATAGTTTCATATTAGATAAACGTTTAAAATAAACACTCTAACTTGAACACATGAATTCAAATAAAGTTCCCTTCAAAATGTCACCATCAGTGTCTGTATCTAAATATCTGTGTTGCTTCCATTTATGCCATATCAGTGGTAGAAGTAATCTTTTTTGCAATTATCTTTAGCTTTTTAAAAATATTTCCTGACTTCAGACCTTCATTCTTCCATGGTAATTTTGATCTTTAGAAATAAGATCATTTGACCCCAAGGCAATGAATAAGGAGCGTAGTCAGAATACCATTATTTTTCTTTTTGTCAAAAATACCATAAAGTTGCTTCCATCCCAGGACTGAGCATGGACTTCCATTTGGGATAAGGAGGGGGGTGCCAATAAAGAGCTGAGGAGGGTGAACCATCAAAAAGAAATAAAGCTGCTTTTCTTGAGTGATGCGTAAACTGGCTCTAAGAATACTTTCAAAAGCAAAGTTCTCACACTTCCCTCCGCAGTGGTGCATCACTGCGATTAACCTGTCCACCCCCCCCCGCCACATGGCAGCCTGGACACACAGCCTTCATTTCACATACAAGGTCCACTATTTTAAAGTATTGTCAGAAGCTTTGTTTGAATACAAAATGGACACATTTTCTATGCTTATAGTTGCTTAAAATAGCAGAGTTTTCCAGAAGGGTGGCACAAAGCTAGGGGAAGAAGGAAACCAATGTTTTATGTAATGCCCACGATGTTCCAGGCAATAAGTGTCACAATTTTAAGGGGTAGGTTATTCGCCCCAATCTGTAGATGAGGAAACATGCTCAGAAAGGAAGTGAAATGTGTGAAAGTCACACAGCTAGTTGGTGGCAGAGATGAACCCTGGGTCCTTAGACTATTTGTCCCCAAAGCTTGTCGTGTTTCTGCTGCAGCACATCACACAGTATAGACATGCAATCTACTATGGACACATATGTAAGTGACTTTTCCTGAAAGGAGTAAGGACAATTAGTGAGGTTCTGTGTAGACAATTATGTGAGTTCTCCTTTAAGTTGGAATAATTCTAATTCTCTTCTGTCAGGTGATTGGGATATTTTTCCATCAACAAGGAAAACTTAAATGTTCAGTGAAATAAAGTGGGGCAGACAGTTATCAGTGCCTCATGGTGGTATGGAATAGGCAAAGGATCAGGGTCACTACTGGAAGGCGTGGGAAAATGAACATACATGTACAGAACACCTGGCATGTGGTAGAGCCTGTGTTTGGCATTTCATGAGCAATAAGGATGGTGGTTAAGGACAAGAGCCTTTGAGTCAGATAAACCTAACTTTGAGAACCCAATGCTCATGTGTGCAGCTTTCTGACATAGAGCAAATTTCTTAATCCCTCAGCTTCAATTTCTTTAAACTTGAATAATATTGTTTATAATGAATAAGAATTAGACAGAAAACATGTTTAAAGGGCTTAGCAGAACTCTTAGTATGAATTAATTCTCAAAAAAATTCTGTTATTAGTCACTTTCACAAATGTTAACCCACTTAATTCTTGTAATTACTGTGCTGTAATTTATAGGGATCTAAATTCTATGGACGAGGAAGTGTAGATTATGAGGATTTAAGAAACTTGACCAAGGTTACAAAATGATAAATGCTGGTATATATGTTGGAAACCATGTCAGTTCATAACAAGTCCTTGTCCTTTATATTTTTCTCTGCTACTCCAAGGAGGCCTGTTGAAATAAGGAATGTCCAAACCTGTAGAGAATTTTTATAGGACTTTATTTGAGCCAAACTGATGATAGTTGCCAGGAGGAGCAAGATCTCAAATGATCCAGCGAACAATAGTGTGCAGTTTCTTTTATGCGTTTGAGATTAAGGATGGAATTTAAGGAAGGTTACAGAAAGGTAGGAGAGAGCAAGGCAGGGATTGGATTATAGAATAGTTAAGATTATGTGCTCTCCTGAGGGTGGTCTGCTTTCGAAGGAGGGATCTGCAAGGGGATATTTCAAAAGTGTGAAAACCCAGGTGCACAGAAACAATGAAGCTAAATAAACTGTGCTTTAAGGATTTGACTTCTTCTGTAGCATTAATACATCATGTGCTATGAAGCCATGATTCTCCAAAGTTATTTCACAGTAAGGATGCAAAGGAAGCAGCCTAAGTCGATGAAAAGACTGAAGGAGAAGCGAATCGTTACCTTATAGCAGGAGTGGGGAACCTTTTTCCTGCCAAGGATCATTCAGATGGTTACAACATTATTCACAAGCCATACAGAATTCTCAACGTAAAAACCAGCCTGCCATATTTGGTCAAACATTTAATCAGCTCACCCCGAATGCCTTGGCAGGGCCAGAACAAGTGATTTCATGGGTCTTGGAAGGCTCTCGGGCTGGACGTTCCCCATCCCTGCCTTACAGTGTCAAATTAAAATTCAAGCTCCCAACACGACTTGCTCATTTTAGACAACATCCTATATAAAAGCAGCACTGGGGAAATATGTTCCTAAGGATAAATCAATTGGTTCCTGTTATATTAAACAATCTGTACACAGTTTTATAGCAAGAATTCTTCATTTAATGGGGAGTGATTAGAATTAATCAAGTGTTTGGAGCCATGGATTGGAGGTCTCCCTAATGGCTAACAGCATGCAGGTTACCATCTCGCTGGGCATGATGGTTAAGCCTTCTGGCGTGGAGGAGGAATGGAGCTGAGTTCAAAATTTAGTGCCACCTCTTCCTACACTTGTGCCTTTGCATAGTTTCTTTGGTGTTTGTGCGACTTCACAGTCTTTTTTCTAAAGTGAGAAGAAGAATGAAAAGACTAATTTGATTAGCTGGGTTAAATGAGTTAATGCACTAAAACTCAAAACACGGCCTACCACATAATAAACATTCAAAAGTGTAACCTATCTTACTTGGTTTCAAGGGAATCTGAATGTTGGGGAACTGGGTGTTTTCCGAGGATATTTGCATGGATTTGTATCTGTTGTTTTATCCCATAATGTAAGGTATTCACTGAGCTCAGTGTTTAGAGAAGCAGAGGGTGACCAGAGAGTGAGTGTGGTACGTATGGAATGATGAATGCAGAGTT